GAGGAGGAGGAAAACAGCCAGCCGGGCCTTCCTGGATGTCCTCGTCTGCCTCAAATATTGTGGTGGCCTAAAAACCAAAGTGTTCAGGAAAGCGACAAATACGACGCAAATACTGAACTTCAACATCAACCACCCGGTCACTCAAAAACGCATTTGCGTAAGGGAGCTATACCGGCGCGTTGAGACGCACTGCAGTAGAATTGAAGACAAGGTTGCTGAATTACAATGTCTTCGACGGGTACTGAGAGCCAATGACTACCCGCGCAACTTTGTCAACCAGTGCGTACGAAAACGACACCAGAGACCAAATCCAACCAGCCCAAAATTTTGGCGGGCTCGTCTGCACCTGAAGAACGTCTCGGAAGCCGTCAGTCTTCTCCCTCCACTTGGATTTGGGGTTGCACACAGGCCGGAAGTAACCATCAGGCGCCAAGTCATGAGGTCGAAAGATCCACTGCCACGGCAGGAAACGTCTGGAGTCGTTTACCGGATCTGGTGCAGTTGCAAACAGAGCAAATACGTCGGAGAAACTGGGAGATTACTCCGTACGCGAATTGCCGAGCACGCAGCAGCAGTGAGGCAGGAAGACGGTAGCTCTCAGGTAGCGGCTCATTCGATGGGACCAGGCCATATTGTCAAATTTCAAGAGGCCGAAATCCTCGCAAGGGGTAAAAACCGCGTGAGCCGCGAGCTACTTGACTTCACGTTACCGTATTGCGTGCTGCGATTCTTCCTGGGCAGGGGAATCAGTCACGTGGGGAGGGTGCGGGCGAGCAATTATCCCGGTGACATTGAGCTAATTTGCCGAGAGATCGTTGCACCAGCATTCAACGCGGATGACGACGTCACGGCTATTAACTACTCGGACGCGGACTGGCAAGCCACCATCGCATCCATTAAGGCCCCAGCGGCGATTGCGAGAGTTGCTAATTTTAGTACGCATATGGTCCCACGCTAGCAACGTGCTACAAATACTGCACTCCTTGCGCCACCATCACTCTTATTTGCGACCATCTTCGATGATGGGTTCGAGTGAGAATCCGAAACGTCAGGCCAATAAATTTCCTGTTCCAGTGATCGCATCTTCGTCTCCTGAACTGCTTCCTGGAACTCGCCTGTTCGCTTCTATCAGCAATCTATCGCCACCTCAGAACCAATGGAGAATATATCTTAATGCGTTTGAGCGTTTTTCGGCAGCTTAGTTGGTGTTTACATCGGTATACCCCCGTCACCTTCATTGACAATCGCCTACTACGTGGAGTGTCAATTCAGCCTTCTCATTGATTCCTTCCATTAAATGTCACGAGGTTTCGCCAGTAAGTGATGTGCTGAAGCAAACAGACAGCGATCGCACTCAGAACGTCAGAAGGACGCCGTGATAATGCGTAGTAAAGGTTTTTTAATCGAACAAGAGCACACTTGTCGCCAACTTCCCTTATGGACGTTCATCTTTGTCGACGAGGTTCGTGTTTGGGTGAGTATTCATGTGACCCAAGCGTAAAAAATGCCTAAGGACTCACTACACCGGTCAGCGCTTTAAGTTATTATCTCATTTTGAAGGTTTTCCTAAACGCAGCAGAGAAGCCACTATTTTGAGCAGTCGATTGAGAACACTGAAAACCACGATGTGTTGGCATTTCAAGGAAACTACGAATCTCAATGTAGCGCCGCCTCCATAAGCCACACGCTTATTTTACGGAAGTCCTTTTACCACACAGAGGAACGTTATGCTTACAACTGTATTTGCCAATTCTACCGATTTGGTAGCCACTGGCCGGCCTGTCAACGTGTGAACTTAAGAAAACTCTTAATTCTGTGACATCACTGTCACTACAATAAAGCGAAATCCTCTTTGATTTAATTAACCGCATCTCGAATACAATGGAAAAATAACATCGATCTCACGCAAGGCGGACATAAAAAACGCGGACAGACGGCAGGCACTCGACCTTGTGCCGGGCCCCATACAGCACTAAGGTGTCAGAGTCCGAACGAGTCTTACGAAAACCACGACGTGCTACTACCACTACTATTATTCAATTATTTACACGGTCAAACAATGTGTCGCCAACGTCTAAGTTTGCTCATCTGACGCAGATCGTCGCGTTTTCGATATTCTCGTCCTTTTTTAGGTCTACTACTTCTAGTAAAAGAAACAGAGCCAGCTGCTTAAGTGGATGCGCCCATACTGGTTTAAGGCATGTTTCATAAGCTTGGAAACCTACCGTATTCGGCATGAGAAAAAAGGCCTTTTCGGAAACGCGTTCAGCCAACAGAGGCGTCTAAGGCGACCCGGACCGGTCATCTAGACGTTGGTCATCGCTTTCCAGAAGATACGTCATCCACTCCAGGTCGGACTGAAAGTTTTGCAAATCGTTCTCATGTGCCCGAAATGTACAGTGCGTGACCTATCTTATGAAATGTTGGCTGAAATTCTGAAATGCGCTTTCGATTAGGAAGGAGTATAATTAGGTTTTAAAAAGTTTTCTAATTGTCGAATAATTTGGAGCCTGATCGATCGTTGCATTAGCGCTTAGTGATTTCACTCTGCAAGGTGCATGCGTTCCGCGTAAAGAAAATCCCATATTTTTCTATGTCATTAAAGAGATACCATACAGGGTCCATAAAATTTTGCAATGGATGCGGACCATGTTGTACATTTCATGAGGAGCAGTGGTAAAAGGCCAGGTACGATGCTATGTGAACGGATATTTCGCGGTCTTAAAAAGTCTCATAATTTGAAACTTTTTTAAAACCTAATTATACTCCTTCCCTAAGTGTAAAATATAAAGAAGACGTGATTCTCTATTGATTGACTAAAAGAAAGCATATTTTTGTTTGTGGTTTCTATAAAATATATTTGAATTTCCAAGACCATCGAAAATCAATTGGAAAAATGCATGCCACTTAAGTAGTCACTTTTTACCGAGCACGCTTTCTACAGGAGATTGAAAAGAAGTGCATTTAAAAGCCAACATCCTGCCGAGTCCAAAATGTTATAAGAGTATGCCTTAAGATAATCAGTATCACAAGCGCGACCAAGTAATCCTTCCTAATCGAAAACGCATTTCAGAATTTCAGCCAACATTTCATAAGATAGGTCACGCACTGTAATCCCAGATGAGACGTAAATGAAAAAAAAACAAACCACATAGACACATGCTGATTTTTTAAGATTGGGATCAAAAGATTGTTCACAACTTAAAGTATATGCATAAGATGAATGAGCGTCTTCACACTGACCGGATCCAAACAGGTCCTGATCAGGGGAGAACGTGCAGAATGACAAGGTGTAGAATGTGGGCGTGAGTACAGAGACAGTGAGAGGAAAACAATGTTTAAACAAGCATGGGACAGGGGGGGGGCTGATTTCGATGACAGATAACACCTCACGCCTCGTCACCATCATCCGAGAACTCTTCCTCTTCACCTCCTTCATGTGGCGGTTTTGGAGCCTCTTCTTGAACGCCCTCCTCAACTTTCGGGACCTTGGACACGGAGACGTCGGTCTCCGCGGCAGCGCTTGCCCTTCGTTTCTCCGCCTGATCGCGGATCTGACGTTGTGGCACAAACTTCTCCACTCCCAGCACCTGAAAAGAGAGTTGGTGCGTGCAGTGAGTTGTGATTGTGCTTCGCCGCCGTAACGTAACGTGACAGTATGGAAATGCGAACATGTGGGGCTCAACTTGGACCAGGGTACACTAGAGGTTTGAACGAATCCCTATAGCGGGCACAGGATTGTGTTAGCTAGTTCGTGTGGCCGCTGCCTCGGTCAGGCCTGATGGCTAATAATCGAGAACGTACGCAAGTCAAAACGGACTTTTTCCGTGTTTGCATGGGTATCATTGCAGAACTCTAGGTGAAACTGAAAGTTCCCATCATGTTTATTAAAAACAAAAGAGTCCTAGTGTTTTGGCAGATGAACGACCAGACCAATCAAACATGAACTGGTGGATTGCACACGCCACGGCAGGCTGGAGGGAGATAACTTACCCGAAAAATTAGATTGCTCGCGGTAGAAGTTCCGTATCCGATACTAAAGCTCTACCAGTCCTGGTCTAAATTCAGACTCGCCGAGTTCTTCATAATCGGGCATTCAGTTAAGAAATCAGTCCGGTATTTGGTTAGTTAATCGCTGTCGTGGGATAAGTAGGCTTTCCATCTACTGTTGATTTATATTTCTTTTAAAAATAACTATACATGAAGCGTAATTTCTGTGATTTGCAGCAGGGGTGGCCAAAAACGAATTCGGGGATAGAGGAACTCCTACAGTCAGACTACAATTGACGTGAGACAAAATTTACTCACCGGCCTCGCCAATTCTGAGGTGTGAATGCTTGTCAGACTGGATTACTGCGACGAGATTCGTCAACTCCAAAAACCGACAGACTTTACAAAGATTAAGAATCTTCGGGCAAGGTATGGCTTCTACCGTTGAGGACCGAGGAAATTGATAACTAGACTGACCAGCAGAACCCGTTTAGTAGCATTGAGTGCCAGCCCCAGCCTGCTGAAGAAGCACTTCAGGTTTACATATTAGCACATTTTCAGTCGCAAAGCTGTAAATGTGCTGATGCGCGTATTCCACTGTCCGACTATTTGGTGTGTGGACTTATGACAGGAAAGAAGAATCCTGCTATACAGGATTCAAACAAGTCTGGAAAACACTGAATGTATGGCAGAGTAACGTGAATGCTAGGTGTGCAGGCACATATTAGCGTCAGAGTGATGGAGAAACCCGTGATGCGGCTGAACGATACCGCGGTCCGGCAACTTTGTGGTCGTTGGCCACCTTAGGGGTGACCGTAGCCCATTTATCGGCCTACAAACTGACCAAATACTGCAAGATCATGGCCTTAATGTTGCCCTATTTTGTGTCATTTTTCGTACAATGGATGAGAGATCAAACAATGAAAAGGCTGGTGATGACAGTTCACCAGATGACATATACAAAAGCAAACATGCAGAAATCAGTCAGTTGATTTTTAACCTCCGGCCAATAGATCTAAGAGAGGCTACCGGTGAAGGTTAATCGAAAAACCAAGGAGATTGGTTAAAATTATCTCGAAAGGACTGGTAAACGAGTGGTCCCCCTACACAAGAGGAAGTACAGCTACAAGCAAAGGCACTAGCACGCACCTTGTAAATCTGCCTGAAAGATAGAAGTCTGAGACTGAGTTGGGCAGTGTGAGTGATCAGCTCTCTGTCCGCCAGGGATAGATCAGCCAGAAGATCCACCTCAGGCAGCGCACGGCGAGCCTCTGGCGGCAGATGAAATAGATACTGCGGTGGAGAGCTGCAGCTGGGGTCCATCAGGCTGTACAGCTGGAAGCCCGGTAACAGAATCCCAGAAGCGAAGGCTTCAAGCAGGCGTCGCAACAACAGAGGCGGCTGTACTCGGACATTTAAAGGTGCAGCAGATGAGCCCGGCTGGGTGGGGCCCATGTCCAGGCAGGAGAGCCGCTCGAGTAAAATTGTCAGCGTCTGCAAAATAGACACAGGTTGGAGATTGATGGCTGGTCACGATATCTTGAGTCGCAATCCATCATGACATTCAAGGGCAAGAGAGGCGGCTAAAGTTGATAACTGAAGGGTGATGATTCGCCGACCATGGCTATGGACCGTGAGGACCTTGAGCCCATCTTCCAGTTATTTTAGTTATTCCAGTTCCCATAGAAGCAAATATTAATTTCAGAAAGTACGTGGGACTTCCGGGTACCGAGACAAAGCGATGTTTAGTCTTCCGGTCATCGTGATCGATCTGAGACAACTGTGTACAGGCAGATCATGGGAACCAGAGATCAAATGATCACAGTGGATATTCGGTCCACGTTCTTCTAACGGTAATACTCGAGAATTTGGAATAAGACAGAACACTGCAGTCATCAAAACTACCAATCTCACCGTCTAAAGTAATTATTGGCAAAGTCCCCTGGTTTTCTCGACTAACTCTCTCGAAATTGTAAATGTTACTAGGCGGTTTGTCCTTGGAGTGTGACGGCTTTAATGTGGTGCCATTAAATAAAGGGGTCGGATGGTTACAAATAGTTTCAGTCCAGGTGGTGTAGAGTGGAGCGCCAAGGTGCGGGCTCGGCTGTGCCATCCACCTGCGCCCTCCCCAGCCTCCGGTCTTCTTCTTGACACCGTACCGTCAAATACCCTCAATACGACATTAATGTTAGCGATAAGTCAGATCTTCTCTACCAGATTTTATGCCTTCATCATCGTTGCAAGTGCGGGAGTCAAAGCGTACGAAGGCTGGATATACGGTTGGTCGGATACAAGTTGGTGGCGCGGAGAGGCTACCCATGCTTTCCACTTTACAGACCAGCAGCTAGGTAGGTCTGCAGTTCTGATTAGAATGCCCTAGAACGCCGTCATTCATCTCCCATATGTGCACCAGCCTCCCCACACCCCGAAAGTATTCCAGAGACTAAAATGTTAACACGCAAATAGGTGACGACATCCGCTGAGTGGTTAGGACTTACAGTGCCTGACCGATCTCATGAAATGTTGGCCAAAATTCTGAAATGCGTTTTCGATTAGGAAGGATTGCCTAGGCGCGGTTGTAATATTGATTATCTTGCGGCATAATCCCATAATATTTCGGACTCGGTAGGATGTTAGTTTTTGAATGCACTGCTTTTCAGTCTCTTGTAGAAACCGTACTCGGCACAAAATGATTACATAAGTAGCATGCATTTTTACCATTGGTTTCCGATGGTTTTACAAACTCAAATATACTTTACAGAATGCACGAACGAAAATATGCTTTTTTGCAGCCGTTTGACGGAGATTTGAGTCATGTTCATATTTTATGCTGGAAGACGGACTATAATCAGGTTTTAAAAAAGTTTCTAACTATGAGATTTTTAAGACCGTGCAATATCCATCCATACAGCATTGTACCTGTTCGTTTACCACTGCTCTTCGTGAAATGCACAACATGGTCCTCATCCACTGTACAATGTTATGGGCTCTATATGGTGTGCTCGCCTGCAACAACAAGTGCAGACAAAATACAACGCTGGGATGCTATCTCTCCCTTACAAGTAATTAAGACCAGCCCGTTTGTCACTAAAAACTCCGCAAAGTATGTTGACGCAGTGCACATCTAACCAGTTTTCAATCATTCAACGTACGGCATTACACACACACAACAGCCTGTAGCGTGGGCAGAGAACGAACAGGAAAAAAGTCGAGACTCACGTATTCCGACAGCTGACCCCACTTGTCCGGAATTCCGTTGAGCATGAGATTGCGAACTACTCGCACTACGTTCACCAGGACGCATGCCACGGGGTGATTGGAAAGTACAGCCTAGTGGGAAGAGACGATTGAAGAAATAGAATGTGGTATTGCGAGGGGCATATTATTTTTATAGATGGTAGAATTGTTTAGTTCTAAGACTGTTTATCCTGCGGTTAGGTGGTTCGCGACCGGCTGATCCGGAATATGGGCTCGAAAGCAAAGCTGTTGGGACTACGCAGCTTCATGAATTTGCCTCCCTTCGCAGGGCGGGGGCTACGTGCCCTGCAGCGTGTATGTATTGAGTGGCTACAACTTTTTTCAGTTGATATAACAGGAGGCAACAAAGTGGGAATCAATTTCAACTGTTGAGGGAAACCAAAAATACTTCCGTGTTTCGCGTTACATGAGACAGTGCCCACCGAGCATCACAAAAACCCCAAAATGCACCTTGAATTCCTGTCCTGTCGCAAACTTTGTAAATCTGCCAGGCGTGAGTGGCCATGGGTCACCACTATGAGTACAGGAGAGGTTGAAACTAAAGAAAAAGCGACCGAAATACTCTAACTAGAAGCTGTCTTAGAGATATTAGTATACTGATAATCGCACATGGTTTCACATTAGTTTGGTCGAAGTTAAGAGGGTTTTAAATGACCTCTTTCCTTCTGCGCGAAAATATCACTTGCTTAAAACGCAACAACACGATAACACCCCAGCTGAAAGACCAACCAAGTGGGTCTGTACTACATGTATGGTAAATTTCGTCGAGTCACGGAATTAGAGCTTGAAATTGCTGAGTTCCTGCAGCGCTGGCAGAGATTAATATGCTCATTTTGATCCGACTAGCTCGGAGAAGAAAGTGTATAATACAGTAACATAAAGTGGTGACAAGAACAACAAAAGACGGTATTGCCGAGATCCTCCTCAATGCAGAGAGCGGAAGCGGCGGTGAGTTCTCATTGTCCGGCCTTCAGCACGCGCGCGTCTTACAAAAACGAGTAGGCGAGGGGAGGCCAGAAGCGCACCAAACTGTTGTCGTTTTTGTAAGACGTCGGGCTGGTGGGCACGCGTACACAGACACACAGGCTCGAGCGTTGCAAGTGACGAATTCAACCACTGTCTCGAAGACACCGCACTGCACACACGCACAGAAGCACAGATTGGACGGAGGGTGAGAAGAGGCACACACACCTCACATCCCTCTGTGCATCTGCTGAGTGCTGTGTGCGTGTGAATGGGATGGAGTGGAGACGGGAATGCAGGGATGGGGTGTACCTGAAGCCAGACGGCACGCCGCACTTCGGTAAGCGCATCAATGCAGAGCTTTTTGGGCAGGCAGTTGCTGTTGCCGCTACTGCTGCTGCTGCATGGTAGCGCTTCACCGAGGTGTTCGTCCTCGTCCTCTTCTTTCCTCTGAACATCCTCCTGATCACCGGCACCATCCTCATTTTCATCAAAGTCCCCTGCGATGGCAATAATAAAGAGGAGGTGGAGAGACGTGTAAATGTTACGTCGTTAATTATGTCTGTGTGAAGAGAATAAACTGCCAAGATCGTGAAAACACTTGCGAATGAGACGACTTAAGAATGCATTCGAGGGCGTACATGATTCATAGTTGTAATTGTTTCCATTTATGTGACGAAACAACCAGGCAGCGAGAGCATTCATTCTAAATTTACAACCTAGAAATGTCATCTGCTAGTCCGACGAGAATGCAGTATTAAAGCTAGTATCGGTGCAAGGCACCACAAGCAAGCAGAACGGTTTTATCCACCCGAAGCTTACAAGTATGTGTCTGGTGCACGCATTTGCTGACCGTAGTTGGCAAATCAAGTAAGGGCGACAAAAGTGACCAAAGGTGTCGGAACATTGCTTTATGAGAACAGACCGGCAGATCTCAACCTATCTCCCCTTTCCTACAGGCAGCCACGCGGTTATCTCACATTAACCTTCCCGATTATGAATGGTCTGGACTTTTGCTCTGTCCCCAATGATTTTCTCACTCGGACTACCACGCTCACTTTGCGCGGTCATTCCCTAAAACTGCGCGCAGGCAAAGCAAGAACCAATGGACGTAAGTTTTTCTTCAGTCACAGAGTGGTTGCAGCGTGGAATTCCCTGCCCACCGATTATGTATGCTCCTCCTGCGTTGATTCATTTAGGTGCAAATCAGACGCGTAGCAAGTTTCCGAATTACCGACACTTCGACTGTCATTACCGACGATGCCCACCGTGCGCTCTACGGCAAGGCGAAAGCAAGCACGGTGACTTGTGGGTGAGTCAGTTTATGGTGGTAGCAGACTTGCACAGCATATACCGCACACACGCACCAACATAAACAGTCGTCAAACTTATGTATGTATGATACTACTTCCAATAAGTGAGTGGACGTTCATATCTATCCTAGCAAGCAGCTGCTCGACTTTTGCATGCAATTATGTCAAAAATCTCTTTCTCAATTTTCCGCTTATCGATGCTTTTTCTTAGACAATCTGTAACCGATTGGGAGTTCAAAGGCGTTCGTCTATTTGTCCCCTAATAAAGCTGAACTGAATTCGGTCGGCTTTTACGCAAAGCTGTAGCCGTTGTCGCTGTCATAGCAAAACATATTCTAATAGTCTTACCAAAGGACATTTTGTTTGCTCGAGTGCGGATCGACCGCGGGCCTTCGTTTTTGAAGTCAGTTAGGAACTATTTACGCAAAAAGCCAGTCAACTCAAACAAATGAAAATGATGCACACCTAAGGTGCTACCGAGTCGTGCAAATCTGACATGATAAGGCGTACAAAATGTACAGCAGAGATTATGCCCGCCTACGGGCCAGTTGGTTGGCAGGGAACGGCATGTCCAGCCGGTACACTCACCTTCGGCTTCCCGTGGTTGTTTTGCCTTCCCTGCCAACTGGAGAGCGCGAACTGACGTGAAAAAGATCCGAAGGATGACGGACATGTGACCCTCGGCGGCATCGTCAGTCTTCTCTGTGCTCAGAGGTTTGGCAGAGGCGCCCTTGGAGAAGTGGACGAGCAAGACTCCGTCCTCGGGTTGTGGGGAGACAGTAACCACGTACTGCTTCCTCGACTCCTGTAAGCGTGAAAAGGGATCATTTTAAAGCACAAACCTGGTCAGCCGCTTAAACATTATTGCTATTAAAAAGCACCGAGTAATGTGTGGAAAGACCGCAGACACAAGCAGTCGCATGACGCGTCGTGCTATCTGAGCAGTCGTCAGGGATGTCGAATTAACTTCACTGAGGGCAGCACCCAACCCCCTTAAAAAACAGACCCTCACGCCATTGTTTCCTAATCATACTCTAATGTGAGGGTCTTATTTTGTACCAAACTACTGGGTTTTATGTCGGATAAGGGACACGTTGCCGATATCAGACAGCGCTTTTGAGCGCATTGCGCCTAAAACCCCGCGACAGAGCTAGTGCATGTGTACAATGTGCCAGTGCCAGTCTAATAAGTTAATTGGACGATTTACTAGTTTGTGGGCGCCCGTGATTCATGTTCGAGGGAATGAATTTGCGTAAAGCCCCAACCTGAGGCGTGGATCTCGAACTGGCAGCACGATCGCAGGTGGGTTCGGAAGGCCGTTCAACACACTTAAATAGATTCGGGCTAACCCAAAGTTGCCGTTAGCAAACTAGCCGGAAGGGTCGACATGAACGAGCCGACCATGAGCAAACCGGTAAACGGATAAGGTGTAAAGCCACCGACACTATGAGCCGGACTAAGGAACCGCAGAAAGAAGTCGAGCCTGGCGTTATCAGAATCCCACATGAACGAAGACTCAGCACACAGGTAAGATACAGATTTCCTGTAGACGACAAATTTCCTTACACGGGTATAACTCATCGAGTGTGTCCTTGCGGCCAAAGATTCACTGAAAATCGAAGTGATCTACTTAGATTTCGGTGACATGTGTACCTATAAGTCATCAGTAGTTGTAAGAATATCAGTAGCGAGTGGCAATGTGGGTTTCCGAAGAGCAAGTTACTGCCATTTAAAAATCGCCAAGACAACTCACTAGCCCTTTTGAACAGACGTAGTGTCGGCCTGCTCAAGCACTAAGCAGGTCCAGTTCGAAATCAGGAAGTGAGTGCAATTAAATGACAGCTACAGGCAATACATGACGATGGGTCATTTTGTGGGACGATGGGGCATCAAAAGGCCTTAAACAGCTTCATGAAAGGCGCGTCGAAGGCGTCCGTTGGACTCCGTAGTTTTAAAAGCAAAGCCCTGACCTCCGGACTCGCTGAGTATGGGCAGATGGAGGAAAGCGTCTGCTGTCAGACAAAACCGTTAAGTCAGTGTAGGGCTAACCAGCGCCGAAATGTTAGCTTAAGGACGCACCTTTACGAGGGCTTCCAGCTCGCCACCAATTTCTACTATATCATCTGTAGTTGGCCATCGGTTGCAGACGAGGACCAGGTCGGCTTTTCTGTCACCAGACAAAAGGAGGCCGGTGGCCAGAGCGCCCACGCGGAAGACACCACGGAAGGGCGGTGTCGGGGGCGTCACTTTCTTTGGCGACGGTTTGGTCGTCGCAGCCTCTTCTCCCTGTTTCTCCTCGCTACTCTGGCCCTCCGCCTTTTGCTCCTTGATAGCGGTAGCATTGAGGGCTTCTTGCTCTTCTTCTGCGAACTTCTTGGCGTCATTGATCTGTTTAAGAGCACTTTCACAGGCAGTAACGGCCAGTCGGATCATCTGAAGATTTAAAGACAGTAACATTTAGCTTCTTCGAGGCAAGGTTGATAGTAAAAGAGGGAGAGCTGTAAACCATCTGTTGGCAAGATATGTATGATCAACTGTGTCTGCTAGCATGCGAGTCTGGGGAAATCTTAGCAGCTAATATTGAAGTAATTTCCGAATAAAAATGCGCAATATCCCATAGATGGAGGGCAAATGAAAGCATGTCCTTAACAGACGGGCAGTTCTGCCACTAAGGTCATCTTTTGTGGTAGTTGAAAATGCAAATCATTCGTCATTAAATCTACTCATGCTTATGGCGGATCCTGGAACAAGCGAGGTCTGGTCCTACCGCTGCGACTAGTGGGCCTTTTGCGCAGCTACTGAAAGACAAGAGGCCATTAGTCGGTGAGGCCTCTCAATCCATTTATATGTGGGTGTTGGACCACGTCATAAGCACTCCACACAGGGCGTTCGACACTACACAGAGAAGGCCTTTAAGATCGACGGCTTTGCGGGTTCTACAACGACCCTTGAAGGCCGACAGGAAAGCTGTGTGGCAACAGGTCTTGTCGGTGCTTCGTCAAGAATAAGTGTCACAACAGGTAGTCAAAGGTTTAGCTCGATGTTGTCGAATCAGAGGCATTGATCATTACTACCTGCTTTTGAGTATTTAGTCCCAGAGGTGGTCTGTCTGACTTTTATGATGGCAAATGGCAATTAGTAATCAAAATCTTGCCACAGCAGGCCAGGAATTACGGATGATTTACTAGATAAGACGTTTGACAAGGTATTAAAAAGCACTATGCGTGTTTCGTCCGACATTCAAACAGAAATTCCTCAGAATAAACACCTAAAACAGAGTAGTCCGACGCTTTACGGTCTTTGTAAATTCGGGAGACAACGGGTTACTAAACATCGCATTAAACAAACGCAAATTGATACGGGCGTTTACATAATCCTCGTATCAACCTTTAGTTTTCCAAACCAAAGTGTGCGAGGAAACGTAACTAAACAAAATAAATCCATGTCGAGACGAATTAAACGCCCGATCTAGGGTGAAGTACTGCTGAGATTCCATTACATGCGATCCTGTCAAAAGTGGTGTAGTTTCAGTTAAAACTTGCAGGCCGACCAGAGGAGACTGAAATTTGATTTCAGGGCGGTGACTAAGGGTAGTGGGGGAGATTCCAAAAAGCGGGTGGCTCATGTTCGTATGAATAAATTTGGTGTTGAAAACTGAGACAAAATACAATGCCGGTGCACTTACCTCAGTTTCGGCATCGGTAGGCATTACTTGACGCAGTTTGGTATGCATATAGCGTAGATCCCCGATAGACATGTGACCGTTTGGCCCGAAATAAGAGGGCGAGCCAAAGGAGTACGGTGGTATGAAGAAACCATCGTTATACCCAACGCCAACGCCTCCGCCGACACCGGTCGGACGATGACCGTTCATCTTCGGCAACCGCGGACCCCAAGCGATAGCGGCGGAGCCGTTCAGACCCTGGATAGAGGGCGGTCCCAGTTGGGTTGGTCGAGACCATGGCTGGGGTCGGGTCCTCTCCTGAGACAAAAGGAAACAGTAAAACGATGCACCGCGTCCATGTAGAGCTCCGCAAGGCAGTATATGCTAGACGATGGTGCGCTTAACTGAATTAACAAGAAGTGAGATCTAATGATGATATATATGCGCGCGTCAGTTGCTTCGGAAATTTCAATTCAAGGTCTTCAGACTAGAAACCCAACTGTCATTGACAACAACAGACTCATGGTAATAGCGACGGGCCTGGTGTGGCGGTTGGGATCGCAAATCGGCTCTGAATATAGTGCTGGTTAGCATGCCCGCGTACAGTCATGCTACCGGCTTAGCCCAAAGGGGGAAGGCATGGGTTAAAATAATGCTGGAGCGAAGCTGATGACCGTGGAACGTTTAGCACGACGTCTTCCGTTACTGGGAGGTCCAAAGTCAAAACTTGATTGCTCTCATAATTCGTCTGACCGGGAATGGGCGGTGCGAAAGTGGAACTAGACCTAGAACTTCGTAGCCGAAGACCACACCGTCCACGCGTAAACAGTAGAATTTACGGGTACCAATAAATTTCGCGACAGCTCATCGGCTGTCACCCGTCGCTGCATAGCATAAGGAACATAAAGTTGAAATTTCACAGAAAATTAATGCGGAAACAACGATGTCACTGTTCAGTGCATACGGTTTCATTTACGAAAGGGGCTGCTTGAAACGCTAGAGTGGAAAGGAGATAGCCAACACACAGACGGCATGCGAATTAAAGGACTGAGTATTATACTGGGGCAACCTAAGGCTGATCATATGGTCTAACCGTTTGCATAGGTCTGGTTTCTCCACCGTATATAGGCCACTGCCAAGCAGCACAATGTCCCGGTTGCTTATGCCCAAGCGAGTACTCGGTAGGCTAATTAGAGGTCAACAGAGTGACCTCTAACAAGGTGTCTTGTAATGGAAGGAGGGGAGACTTTATTTTCCGACTTCAGCTCAAATGATCTGGTTGTCAGCTGCTTTTGCGTTTGTCCAATGTACTTGCATCCGCAAGTGCATGCTGATTCATAAACGCGATTCGAGATGTCGTGCAATAGCAAGGCATTCTTCGTCCTTTAAATTGGGATCGTCTTAGCAAAAACACTGCGTTCAGCTTCATTGTAAGCTTTCTCAATGATGCGCCATAATCGTCGCTTGATTATATTTGAAACGTCGCAGTTCGACCACCGCGACTGACGATGTTTCGGATTTGCACCCGAACCCAGCATCACGGGACGGTCATAGATAGTGAACGCACAGGGGATGCAGTACTTATAAGACGCAGTGGTCATGCAAACACATACCTCCCACATTCAGTTTCGGTGATCGCAATTACTTGCTCCTCCATATCCGAGTCATTAACTGTCGTAATTTCTTCACCGTTGTTGATTGCCGGTGTGGCAATCACTCCGCAGTTCTACTCGCCGACACCATCACCGGAAGCGGTGTTGGTGTGTGCGCCCCGTGTGGACAATCACTCTGCTCAGGCAGTCTCAGCACTGAATAGGATGATGAGAGGTGGTTGCGCTTAGTAATATACTGCGGGTCGAATAATCATGACTCCAGCTGCTCGTGGCTCATGGGGATTTTACCTCTTACGAGAATTTCGGGTTGGTCGAACTTTAAGATGTGGCCGGGTCCCATCGAATGAGCCGCAATCGGAGACTTAACGTCACGTTTCCTCACCGCTGCTGCGTATTCGGTCATCGGCATACACCGAACTGGAAGTGCGGAACCAGAGCCTAGGCTACCGATAACTAAGCCGAGAATAATTTCAATTATCGAGGTCGAGGTGGTGATCGGCAATGGCGATCGCAGCGCAAAGCCGCTGCAATGAGCGTGGCTGCAAATCGTGGCCAGTAGTCATACCAAGCTTCCTGCGGACCAAACGACCCTGTGTAGAGAACTCGTGCGACGCTCTGACCGATAAATTACTATGGCGGAAAGCGGATGACACCGCTCAATGGCCAGCGGGGGGTGCACGACCCGCCCCGTCGACCTTGACAAAACAGGTGGCAGGTGGGGTGGGCAGAGCGTAATGCGCGCGCGCCCTATAACACCAATCGTGCACGAAAGACTAGTCACCTTATACGGACAACCAAATTCGCCACTTCATCTGGGAACCGCAATCCCCTGCCATTGGTGCAAATCACTAAGCGGTAGAAGCAATCATTGTAAAATGAGTCAATTTCTGAGTACCACTCTATGACGGGAAACTATACAAGTCCATTTTACTGGCCTAGAACCAGTGTACTGCTGATAGCACATGATATGCTTCTAGCCGATACAGGTGGGCATTACCGCTGGACAGACGAAAATACAACATCCTACCCTCCAGAAGCAGGGTACACATTGTCAACGTGTACTAAAATCGCCCTTCTTCCAGTACCACACAGGCAATAGAGGTGGACGGAGGAGACGATGGCTAGAGGTTTGGAAGGCTCCAAGAAATTGTGCGAATCGCATTTAGCAGTTCAACAACAATCTTGCGCAAGCGGCAGCTGGTGTGTCCGTAGATGGTTAGATACCCCTCCGAAAATCATGTTTCGTCACAGGAACTTCCGTTGGGTCTTCCACACAATCAAGTCGGGGGAAGTGAATGATGGTCTGCTCCCTATTTTAGTGGCGGTTAACCTAGACTTCGGTAGACGAATAGTTGCTTAATACACCACCTAGCCGACTTAAACCCCGTGTCTGCCGCCGACCCCCAGCTCCCCGCGCCTGTTCCCACCGGTTCATAAGAATGACACCCTCAAGCATTTTGGCTAAGAAAGGTTAACATAGGCGGTTATTATACGTCGCTTTGCCCTCCTACTTGAGGGCTAGAGTGCATCCTACCAGAAACCCAGTAAACCAGAAATGGCGGGCCCCTCTATGGGTCTGTGCAATTTCGTCAACTTCGTTTTGATGGAAGCGCTAGTCGGACTCCCTGGACCACACCCTCCTGAAATGGCCAGCTCATCAACTGTAGCGATACGCTAGCTTATCAATCTGAGTCCGATTTTGCATATAGTCGGCTCTTTGTGGAAGTACATTAGGATCAGTTAAGACATTGCAGACCTATCTACAGGTCATTACCTCCTCCAAGTCGTCGAATCTTCCAAGCTATAAAAGGGGGATGTTGTAGCAGAAAGCAAGAATTTAGAAAAATTTACTCACAGTAACTCGAAAGAACTAAAATAGTAGTCGTGATAAAAAAAAACAAAAAATAGAAGAATGAGTTAACACGTTAGTCGGTATGAAAGTCCGGCAGAAATGACAGCAAGTAAAACGGCTTTGTCACACGCGTCCTACAGAAAACGGTTGGAGGAACACCTATATCCTCCAGCTCAGCAAACGCTCCGCATATAGCCGGAACGGACTGTCTTGTTTAGTGGCAGATTGGTGTCCTTGACGCAAATGAAGAAACGAGGGAATAGCCGAGGTTAGAATTACTGAGGGGATATGCTGGATAGATAAACGCCGTCAAATCCATAAAACAGGCTTGGAGCTAGCGTGCTTGGGTATTTCAATAAAAAGTGATCAAGGGCCACCAAGAGATCTTTAAACCCGAAAACCATCTAGTAAACTGCGATGCGGGTAGTATTCGCGTTGGGCATTGTGAAAGCTACCACTGATAATAATGGGTCAACGCTGCGCTTCTGCCGTTGTTGGTGAAAGCTACCATTAGTGCTCATATTTGACATTAGAAATCATTGCGCCCGGCTTCCTCTTCTAGAGAGACTGAACAAGGGCAAAAGTCGATTGTAATACCTTTCTACGGAATGGATGCATGAGAATTTTATTCGGCTAACCGCCCACGTACGTGTTTCACCACAAGTAACGGGCTAGAACCCATTCTATTCTTGTTTTGGCCATATGCACCAATCGGACGCAGGTGTCATAAACTCTACCCTTAACCTCCTAAGTGACCAAGGTTTCTGCAAAACCGCACAAGTTTTGCGTTCTTAGGTTGACACTTTCAATAACTAAGGAAGTTAATAATGATGGTTTGAGTGCTTGGTACAATTACTATTCAAGCCATTGTTCTATTCAATGTGCATACTTTCAGGGTTAAGAGAGGGGCAAATGGAGTTCAAAGAAATGTAGAATTCGAATGATCGATATTGTTATACATTCTTCGGCTACGTTTCCTGTGGGTATTAGTGAAAATTTTAGTTTTGGATTAACAAAACTCGTATAGAGCGAAAGGAGGCCATCAAGAGATGGAACATACCGAGTTTGGTGTCGGTGGAGGGGCCTGCAATTTACGAAGTTGGGTCTGATGTCGCTTGCCCTTTAGATGAAGGTCTTTGGCGTGTAGGTCTGTAAAGAAGCAGTTGCACAGCTGGCAGCGGAAACTGAGGCCATGTCCAGATGTGACCTAGAGGAGAGAGGATTGCCAGAACTATAATCCTAGCAGTAAATTATGGGTTCGCAGAACAAGGTCTTGTTATTGTTGATAAATGGAAGGGGCTGTGTGTTGGCGCAAAACCGGCGGTAGGCAGCGAGAACAATGTTTGTGAGGACCAGGATAGGAAGATCATTAAGCGATATAAAACACTTTTCAGGGATCAGTAGGTCGGAAGTCGAACCGATAGGCTTTCACGTGACAAGCGGATCAAATCTTAAGTACCTTCACGTCTAACAGTAAGTTCCGGCGACCTCGCCAAGGTGGACGCCGCTTCCTGATTAACAGTATCTATCGCGAGCGTCCACACACAGTTGGAGGCTTCCCAAGCCACAACTGTCAACGCGTCGTGATGGCGCAAAAGCGCATTTGATTATCTATGGTAGGGAGCTACGCGGTGACTTCGGGCTACATCGACTCGTTTATATTCTCTCCTATACACCAGTAATTTAATCAAATCTCGCGGAATACCATTATCACGAGCTGCATAAAGTCGGGACTCTTGTGCATTTACATGCCTGACTGAAAGACAAACGGAGGCTAAGGTGGAACCATTTTGAGAGGATCTACAAGGCAAGTAGCCGCTGTGTGTCAAGGCAATCTTAATGCTGGCGAAATCTAGCCGAAAGCATGAATGAGAACTCGCAACCCTGTCTGAAAAATGTGTCAACTGCGAAATTGCCCTTTTAGTGCCCATTTAACTCGCTGAGAAGGCTGTATACTCACCAATTCAACGCAGTCATCGCATATGCTTTGGTCTTCAGCCTTGAGCGGAGATTCGGCGGGCGTTGAGGTAGGCTTTTCTACACAACGAGAGAACAATGTGAGCCCAGTAACAAATACGGCAAATGGTATGTAAATCGACGTAAAGAAATGTAGTGTAGGAAACTAAGGTTATAAGAGGCAGAATATTACTTAGAACATGGGTAAGGAGGATTCGTAGAAATGTGAAGATTGCAAGAAAATGACCTGATCTAACTGCTTCTGGTAACATTTGACATTAACTCCCCTCTACTAACACAAAGCAGTTCTTGCGGTCGACTTAGTGAACACCTGAAGCCCGGAATGGGTTTAGCTTTTAATGAGACTACTGAATGCATGGGATTACTGGATATCACAAGTTACACGTCAAGCTCTAGCACTAACTGAACTCCAATAGAAGCCCAAGAACTCCATGAATTTTTCCACCTGAAGGCACAACCTCACACGCGCACGACAAACAATTCTGAGCAGCAAAAATTCACTCGAGTCTGGAGTACCCGGTGGACGCTTTAATGAACTTTAAAACAAGCGGTGGAGATCAGACGAAAACTAGCAAGGTACGAAAGAAATACCGGTGCTTAAGACAGCCTCGCGGGTGCGAAAAATAGTACGTCTTAAAACGACAGCTGGTAAGCAACATGAATATCGCGTGAACGCCTACTCTCGGGAACTGCAGCTCCCGACGCCTCCGTCAGTTCACTTTCGGTCGGCTTTCGGTCCTCGGTAGATGTGGGGGCAGTAGACGCTTTGGGTGGCAACTCACACTCAGGCACTGGTTTGCCCAGGGCTTTGTGCAGTCGGAGAGTACGTTGGTGCTGCTTTCCGATGAGGTGTGCTTGGTAGGTGTCAGCTCCGGTGCAGATTACGTCGCAAAGCGCGCACCGTAATTCGCTTAGTTTCCCTGAACCCGTGGAGCCGGGTTCAATGCCAAGTTTTTTAAGGGCCTGAGGAAAATTCATAAATGATAAGTGAGCGAGAGTAAACATCAACAATCAAAAGGGGGGCCTTTCAAAGACGACAAATCTGTGAATTCCTGGTCATTGGTGGTCATTACCCCGACAGTTATGACCGGCAAGTCAAGTACTCCCAACTTTATAAGATAGCGTCTACTATGCGGTCTTTCAAAGTACAAACGCCCTATCTTCCTTGTTTGACTTAAGCGAGTCGAGGTCAGGTGGCACACTCCAGAAATGCACATCACCTGAAGATGACCAGGGTGGCTAGTGGACAGCATATACGGATGTCGGAGGTTCGCGTGGTGGTTGTTTTCGTAAGAATACGACTTTTTATTCAATCTAAGTTTTGTAGGCAATAGTGCTCTAAAGTACCTATCCTATGCAGGTTCCAACTTAGTCCGGGTGACAGATCTCCGGTCCTCCAAACGATAATGACCGGAAAAAGAAATCGATACTATCTACGGGCCGAAACTCCATTGACGCAACTGTTGGCCCGACGCAATCGGCTTAATCGCGTCGGAATCATTATAGTGGGACTCACTTGAAGTGCTACAAGGATGCCTACCCAGTATCAGACCAACCCTCTCCCTTTCCTGTCCAAGCCTGTCGGCAGACTGGTGAGATTGGACGAGGGTAATTAATGCGACGTGGGTTTCCATAGAAAGTGCACTACACACATGCACGACAATAGCTAAGAACCCGCGCAGGCTTCAAGCAGCCCAACCAGCACATGCAATGAAGTAACGTGGACCTGTGGTGGTGTAGGGTGACAGAGAATCGCGCGATCAAGGAGGACTGCAAGATGCCAGACCGCTAATGGCTGCACGGTGTGCGCGGGTGGATGGTCCGCGCGCTCTCGCTAATGGTGCGCATGCACTTCTGCGGCTGACTACATAAACGCACTGAGGAAAAATAGTTACTCATATCTACTGTTAAGGCAGCGGTTTCTATCCGTGCGAAATCGTCTTGAATGGCTGAAACGATTAGGAAAATGGCTTAAGACAGAGACTTGTGCTGATGATAGGTAAGTCTACTTTATCATAAAAGGGTGGCACGTACCGATATATCCTAATTACAGGGCAGAAGTTACAACTTCGGTCTCCCAATCAGGATATATCGACGAACACTATTTGAACATGACTGAATATTTCCCATTTTGGTCGACATGACGTGAAGCCGTAGGATAGTGCTGTGGGAGTTGCTCGATGATTAAGTGACTTGAGTTGCAATATCGGAGGTGCGGCCTAGGGTTCAAATTACTGACTGACGGTGACAGAGAAGTCCAAAAAATGTACAGTGACGTACTGCAAAAGCTGTTCGTGAACTGAAAAATTTTACGTGCGAGCAGCGCCTGACAGCCTTTAATCTCTATCCCCTCCACTACCGGCAGGACAGAGACGATCTCATAGTAACGTTTCACTTGTCGAGAAAACTTAGTCTGGGTGTCGACTGGGAAACTCTTTTTGAAGTGGTACCAAAGACTAGTTTCAGTGGACGCGATTGCCAACTTAAAAAGGCGCTGTGCCACGCCAAGCAACGTTCCTCTTTTTTCTCACAGCGTCGTTCGCCAACGGAATTCTTTGCCGACGTATGTTATAAACTCCCCATGAGTGTGCTCAAGAGACATCTGGATAATTGCCCGTTAAAAGGCAACCCGAACTCCCCAAGCCCCATCCAGGGGATTACTGAAATGACTAAACATACTACTGGAATGATTTCAACAGAACCTTTTGTGGAATAACATTACCGAATGGCTATTTCTGGCCTATTAGCCGTCGTCAACCAGTCATACCTATTCTGCCTATATTACGCGCCGCTGTGCGGCTGCTGGTTGGGCTCCAAAGAAGCCCTAAGGCACAACGGGACGAGTGAGGTCTGTAACACGATCGGTGAGCGTCTCTAACCTTCACCCTGATGAAAATTTCGCAGTGCGAATGCAGTGAGCGTGTTCTTTCGCCGTTGCTTCGCAAATGTGACATTTTTTCACATTTATGCTTTGCCATTAGTTTTATGCATTCCGCACGCTAAAAACGTAAACAATTTTGCAAATTAACTACATTCTATTGACGTCTGTGCCGTTAAAATGGAATTTAAGGGCTTCTGTCATTTACTCCAAGTATACTGACTGATACTAACAAATCCCATCACCTCAACCTTTTATGCTAAAACTTCTCAATGACTGAACTCTGTCAAAAATTTCTTAATTTCTGCGCAAAATGAAGCAACACTTACTCCTAAAAGTGCGGCCTACACGAAACAATAGTGCAGCATTAAAATACCATCCGGAGCTTTTACAACGCAGATAACAAACTACAGGAAATCGGAAGACCACCGGTAATAAGTAGTAATGAGCTGTTAGTGTTTGTTTTTTTTCGATTTCCCGCAGTCATGCAGACTTTCAGTGCAGCAGCCTAGATGGAATAGCATTGCCTATATCACGCGCCGCTGTGCGGCTGCTGGTTGAGCTCGAGAGAGCCCTAAGGCACAATAGCACGAGTGAATTCCGCAAAAACGATCGGTGAGCGCTCCTCTATCATCCCAGGTAGATTATGGATGTTCGCAGATTGTAACCTACTCGATCAGCTCGTCTTTATCCCCTACTCATTCCCCGGACGCTGAACCAAGGGCTTGTTCAAATACCGTCAAAAGTGTGTTTACAAAAAGTAGTGGGTTACCTCTTGTTGACTAGCCCTTTTCTTGTGTTTCTGTCCAACCATGTGTGCATCGAAGCAGGCTTGTCCAAAACAACTTATCTTGCACAATTCACAATAAAGCTGAGGGGGCGGTGTTTGCGGCGTTTCACTTTTCGGCCTTTCGTAAAATCCCCCGGCATGAGCAGACATTGGATCTACGAAAAAAATGTGATGTTCATCAACTACTGAAGTGGAGGAATCTTGCAAGTAGTACTCAAAAGCAAAGAACCCCGGAAAAGTATATTTTGACTTTTGTGTGACATCACCAACGCCTACCTAACGGAACGAATAGAATTACTTGGCATATTTTGATCCTGTAATCGCGACTTCTCGTACTTGATCCTGCGTTTAAGGACAAGATAGTCCAACCGCACTGAGAAAGAAAACCGGTAAACGCCATCCTTCTACTGATGCGGCTTGTCGACAGAATTATCAGTTGACGAGGAATGAGATTCAATCAGTGAAACAAGGCGTCTATTCGACCGGCACTTCGGATTCTCACTCGAATCCATCATCCATAACAGTCGCAAATAAGGTGGTGGATGAATTACTGCATTACGCATTAATTCATACTGCATTTCAGTGTGCCGCCAAAAGTTTAGTTCCTCAGCCGAGAATGTATGCCATGATAGAAGCACGGAAGCAGTCCCTAAGTTTAAACTCGTTAATTAGTGTAAGTCTTAGCGTATTTTCGGTAGGGTTATTCGCAATTAGTCTCAAATAAGTTACTGAATGAATTCAAGTGGTTGTACGGTCCGCCTATAAAACGAACAAAAAATTTTCTTCGGCTTATTGTGAACAGCGCATCTAGAAGGCCTTGGGCACTTATAATGGCTAATTCTTTGTCCTTTTTAACCTGACAGAGTTGGCTAATTCTAAACCCTGGTTCAGACTCAACAGTAGTCTCATGACCAGTTAGCAGGTATGATTTTAACGTCTGTCAGGGGTTGTGATCGCAGAAACGACAAAACTACTGTTATTTTTAGAGGAATCGGTACTTCCCAGATGCAGTGCCAGTAATTAGGAAGACTGGAGTGTCGTTGAGCCCTCACAGCCCAATTAAGTCAAAAAGCACTTCCAGACGCACCAAGTGTCTTTTCGGGAGGCAATTCGCTTGGGGAAGAAATCGGACTCGCAAATTGGGGACTGAGCCATAAAGTGAATGAATTAATTTGGAATAACATATGACTAATACAGTTAAAAACTGTTTTGACATTTGAATTCAGATGACGATGGTAGGAGGCTTCACAACCATAGAACCAGCCTTACCGCCTCATGTTTTTGATAGAACTTCATGTATTTCTTGAAGCATGTCTGGAGGCGTGGCAAACGCAAAAATGCCATTGGACGACATTATCAAGCAACCGTCCGTCCCTAATATGAACGCTATTTTGAGGCGCTCACGGTATATGACGTCTGATAAGTCCTCAAACAGTGGCCACCTGCCAAGGGCTGAACTTGCCTGGGTTACAAGTCGAGGAAGAAAACGAGATAACTGTGTTGCTTGAGCGTGTTATCAGCGCGAATAGCCATGGGCCTGGTTTTCGACAACCTATGCTCAAAAATAGGATTTGTCAAAACGCTACAACCGCAGACCCAGCGGCATGTTCTACAACCTTGAATCTCCTTGAACCGCCTCCACGACTTCATAGGCGCACTCAAAAGTAAAAAATAGCCGTCGACAAGGCGGAGGTTGTCGAACAAATATCTAAACTGGAAAACGTACTGCAGCAAGGGTGTTGCTCTGGCTAGTGATTGCTTGCTTTCCTGGTTCATTCAGTCGATTTAATTCCGCCGACAGAGAACTATTCGAAGGTGTGTGCTCAAGGCTTCTGGGCTTAAAACACCAAACCACTCATTCAACGTTCGATTATACAGGGTGTTGGAGGGGTTCCCCACCAACAACACTGGCTTCAGACACGATTGTGCCCTTCTCAAGGTTCCTTCCTCTCAATTCCTGTCACAAAAGTCCAAGACTGAACGGACACACACTTATGGAAAAATCTCGTCTCAGACCTTGAATATGCCGAGGATATCGTCCTGTTTTGACAGCTCCATGAAGAAGTATAATGCACTCCTAACCACATCGCCCTCGAAACCGCAAACCCAGCTTAAAGCTGAGTCTCATCAGAACTATGGCTTAACCAAAGTATTGCTCAGCAGCCGCACCTCCAAACGGGAGACCCTTCACTGCTGGAAATGGTGAGGTTAGAGGCGCTCAGCTGCTTTGACGGGAGCAGGCGGACGCAGCATGCTCGTTTGTTTCCTGAACGGCTCGTGATTTGATATTAAAATCAGCATGAAAAATATTCGTGTGTGGTAACATTCGGAGTTCCCCCACTTCAAAGATGCGAAGCGCAGCTCATCAGCGATGTTAACCTGTGGACTCAAGATTACTGAAAACTGGTCCCATTAGAATACTGCGACTTCGGTTGCTCGGACCGCCGTTCCAAGCGCAGGAATCTACCGTTGACCTAACACACTTGCTGATGACCCGGTGGAAGGTTCGGCACTCCACTGATTTTAGGACAATCAGGCCACAACATCACAGCTCCGGATCCCTGTCCTGGTTTGTGCAGCTCTTGTGGCAGACAAACTGAAAAACGACCAGGCGCTTAACTTAAGCCTGAAGAGTGCTAGGTTTGTGTCTTCCTTCAAGAAAGGGGTACCAATAGATAAACGATTGTCCTGAACCTTGTAGACGGCAAAAGAGGAAGGATCGTACTGTTTCGTGAGACTGTAAACAATAGAGCCGGCCCGGCCAGCAGTGATTACAACCATCACAATTCAAGTCAGTCAGTAAAGAATGAACAAGTTTCGAACCGGCGCGCTACTTACAAGGCCGCTTAAGCCGTGGACTGGAAGAATATGAGCCTGGTGGAGGCCCTCGTTCCGGTCTGCTTTGGGGCGGAAACGAACTCCGGCTGTTCATCCCATAACCGGCAGGGGAATCTGGGTGGGCGCCATCATACATGGGCCCGGAAGACGAGTGCATGGATGAATGAGGTTGTTGTGAGGGGTGAGACGGCGATGGGGTGCGATACATTGGACCGCCAGGTGGAAAACGAGGATAAGAGTCTCCAGGTGGGAACATATCCGGACCGCGGTATGGAGGTGGCGCCCGCCCTCTTGGCAGTGGCGAGACGTTGGATGGAGGCAGGTAGTCTGGCGCCCCAGCAGTCGGATAAGGCTGCCGTGGACGGTAGTACTGCATAATGCTGTAGAAATGAAAAAAGTTTGGGCATCTTCGTCGAACCCGACCACAACCGCTAACGAAGACCAAATAGACATAGTGGTGCTGTCGACTGCAGTAAAGTTTCATCTGACAGCGCCTAACAAACGGGGGAAGGTTTGCGGGGTTAGTCCCTACACTGCTCGGAAACTGTGATGGGCATTTCCGATTTTGGGCATATGGCTTAATCGTCCTTACAAAGGTCAACAATAAAAAGCGAGTAATGTAGGCTAGTCGTAGGAAAAGGAAGGCAAAGGAAAAGAGCGACAAAAAGCAGTACTAGAGGCTATTTACCGTAAGATTCACGTGTTTGAACGCCTGTAGAGGACATTTTAGTACACATTACTCGGTTTAATCTTGCACAAGCTTTGTCTAGATTTCGCTGACAAAGCACTGTGAAGAATGTGTTGAAGGGCCGTTGAGGCAATGAAACGGCCGGCACTTCAGGCGACTAAGCTGAAATGTCGAACGCTAGTAAGAAAAAAAAGACGTGGACACGCTGACAACGTTGTCGCTTAAGCGACAATACAACGAGAATTATTTTCGTTATTTCGTAATAAAAGAGGCCTTAAATGCACCTATGAATAAGTGATACGTAGTCATTTGAAAGTTAAAACCGAAATATGGTAGAAGAAACGGCAGCACAAGATACGAGGAGGACTGACATGAAAGCAAAGACGACGCGTAAACCGAAAACCCTACCTTCTTGTTTGTCTGGACTGAGAGCGGAGTGGAATCAAACCAAACCCCTGTTGCTCATATTAGTAAAGATTGTGATTTATTCAGTGAGAAGAAGTAGGTCCAGAAATCAAAAACTTGCGAATATACCACCATGTTTTTCAACAATACATATGAGCGCAAAACCTAAGCTCAGCACAGGAGTGCCGATCAGAAGTCTGAAAAATTGGTTCAGAGAAAGAGCATCTTGAAAACGAACTAACCGAAGGTAGGAAAACCGCTCTGACCTAACACTGACGGAAAGACATGTTTTTGAGGAAAAAGTGAAGTGAAGTGAGTGAAGTGAAGTGAGGAAGAAGTGAAAAGGTACTGTACAGAGAGCTGACAAGAATTAAGGAAACGATAATAGGCATCAGAATCTATGAGCGAAAAAATCGACAACATGGATTTATTGTAGACGACTGTTCGTATTATCCCCGTAAATATTACAGACGATCTATTCTTATAGGCCACTTCCCATCCAAGGTTATGAGGCGTAAATAATGGAGCGCTTTTTTACAATGGGCGGAATATATGAGGCATCTAAGTTCAACGCAGGATATCTAGCATAATGAGGAATTAATTCAGTTTAAGTCAGTTTATTAAGGGAATGAGGCTTTCGCCCTTGAACTCCCCATTCATTTCGATAAACAGAAATAAATTCATCAACTACATCAGCAAGTGCGAAAATTTTAGAAGTTAGCGGTAAGTGTGAGCCAGGCGCAAACTGCCGCCGCTAAAACAATCATTATTATATGTACAGTAGGTTCTCAAAAATGAGCATCTTGTCTGCACTTAAAGGATTTGACACTTTCGTAAAGAACGACGGCATCAGGGAGTCCATTCCATGCCACGATGACCCTGTGAGAGAAGGCGTTCCGTCGGACGTCCGAATGAGCCCGCTTCCTTTGCAGTTTGAAGGGATGACCACGCAGACGGTCAGTCCCGGCTCACATCGCCGCGAAGTACAAACGGCGTCACCATGCCGGGGGACCATTGTGAACCAGACGGCACAAACCAGACCTAAGCATGGACGTAGTCCTTCCCCCCACACGACACAACGATATAAATGTTCGCACGTTGCTGCACTCTGGCAGTCTCTGATGATGAACCCATGTTCGAGTTCAAAAGTTAAGGCCAATTAATCTACCGTTTCAGTGACCGTGCCTTCGTCTTTTTTTACTGGTTTTTTTCCTGAGTTTGCGAATAATATCTATGGAGGTTAAAACGCTACAATTTAAGGACTGAAGCACACTGGTTCCACTGAAGAGCCCACTGATCAGCTGGTCTTTTATTTGTTGTGTCATCGAGCAGCAGAATATTGGAGAAACATGTATTTGGGCTGTTAGCTCGTACCGGTGTTGCCAAGTATGGCATATCGTGCTACCTTTCAATTTTCATCCGTCGTAGCGTTACGTTAGCTACGTTTCGCATTATTTCCGTATATGTCGCCCAATCAAGACAAATTACACATGCTATCAAACAGGATGAATGCCTGTGAATTCGGTTTCGAATTTTCGACCTCCGAGGGATTTGCCTTTTCCGGGATTTCTGCCTACTGGACGCTCTGTCGGCCCATTTGGATTAAGAAATTACTTATCGATATGAACAGGGAGTTCAAGGGCGAAAGCCTCATTCCCTTAATACACTGACTTAAACTGACTTAATATCGTTCCACAAAATGTAGCACGCAAGACAACGGTATGTTTGAGCTTGACTCTCCAAAATAACGGCTTTAAGTTTTTTCATTCTGTCAGGGCCATCAGGCGATGTCAACATGTTGCGTAAATTCTGCACTGTTATTTATCACAATTGCCTCCGGCTATGGTCAATAGTGGTGTCCCCCAGGGTTCAGCACTGGGACCCATTTTTTCCTTATCTACGTGGACGATGCCGCAAGAGATTTAGACTGTGAAGTAGCAATGTTTGCGGATGACATGAAGATATGGAATGTAATTCGGGGTCCTGCCGATGAAGACAGACTGCAGATGAACCTGAATCGGTTGGAGGAGTGGTTAAACCGTTGGATCCTGCGGTTCAACGTTGCCAAATGTAGCATACTTCGCCTAGGCAACGCAGCCAGACCCGCCAGCACAAGAGGCTACTTTCTGGGTGTTGCAGCCCTACAAGAGGTCGATGCCCAAAGGGACCTCGGTGTGCTTACGCCGAGTTCCCTTAAACCATCCGCCCACTGTTCGAGGGTGGCAAAAAGCGCAATGTCCGTACTGTACGCCATCAAGCGTGCTTTTATGAACTTTGACGAAGAAGCTTTCTCTAAGACATTCGGAACATTCGTCCGGCCGCATTTAGAGTACGGCATACAAGCTTGGAGGCCGTGGGCTGTTGTGGACCAAAACTGCCTCAAAAGAGTCCAGAGGAGAGCCACGAAGATGGTTAGGGGTCAAAGCTCCTTTCCTTATGCAACCCGTCTAGTAAATCTGAACCTCTTTCCTTTGAGTTACAGGCAACTTCGCGGGGATCTCTTGCAAGCCTTCCGCATTGTAAAGGGGTTTGATTGCAATCTGGCCTTCGAGGACTTTTTTTGAATTTGCTGCCACGACCAACCTCCGAGGTCACCCGTTAAAACTGCGCACTCAGCAGGCACGGCTGGATGTGCGGAAGTTCTCCTTCTCGGTTCGGGTGGTCAAACCATGGAATGAGCTTCCCGCAGATGTTGTGATTCCACCATCTATCCAAAGTTTTAAGAAGAATCTGCACATATTTATGTTCCGAAATGACCAAGAGCCGTGAGAAGTCGAACTCACTCCCTGTAACTCCTTCTGATTTTGTCCCACCATTATGGGCGTGTTCGAACTATTTCAGCCCAGAACATCTATCTGTACACCACACATTTTTTACGTTGCAAATGGGGTACTCAAAAGCTTACGCCTATTTCCCTTAATAAACTGAACTGAACAGAACTTTAGTGTGCTTGTAAATGCGATTTTAAAAAGTCCATATCGTATTCTTATTGGTGCAAGCGTTGCGACGTTCTAGTCCCACTATCGCAGAAGTCTTTTTCGTCTGTCTATTTGGTAACAGATTCTCAGATTTACTTCTTCGAAAGTGCTTTTATATGTTATAAGTTTTTGGTGAGTACCAGCAAAATGATGGGCGTCCGACATCTCTTGATGTGCGTCCATGCATCTACGATATTACCGAATCAAGGGCAGAGGCCCAGGTACTGTCGGGAAGCCCGCATACCGGAAATGATATCAATAAAATAAATAAATGACTTTTTATTAAAGACCCATCGGGGTCCTATCAAAGCAAGTAAAAATATATGTTCACATGAATTTTAGAAGAGGAAGGCAGAATCCGTACACTATTCAATTCATAGTTTCTGAATTAATAGTCCGTTAAGAAAAATGATGAGCGAGCAGGGAAAAAACCACCCAGGAATTTAAAGAATGATTGGATTAGCTTTACAGGAGAAATAAAAATGTCGCTCATAAGAAGACAAGAATGCGAGCAGGACTGGTCGGCATGTGGCGGTGTATAACGGATTATAATCGGACATCGTTAGGGCAGAAATAAATGTCAGCCTTGAGGGGTAGGTAGGCGATTCAGAAAGGACTGGTCTGCATGTGGTATTGTGTAAGGGATTCAAAACGGATATAGTCAGGACAGAATTGATACACCGGATGAGACTATTCGCGTTAAAATCGTGAGACGAGAGGAACTCAGACGCGATCGGTCACTGTCCGCTTCGAGCCCAGCCGAGGAGTGGGGAAGGAAGGTATGACCAAACTTCTAGTAGACTGCGATTACAGAGGGTTCCGCCGTGTGTCGACAGACCGCTTGAGGTTCATATGAAGAGGTGACATCAAGAACCATGAAAATCGTCGCTGTGGGGGAGGACTGATCGCAGTGGACTTGATAACCAATTCAAAACAGGTGGTTGTAAAGATAAAAGTGGGGATTTCCACTTGATCTACCGTAGGTAGCCAAACACTGGACGACGTAATCCACCCCCCTCAGAAACAAACAGCCTCTCCCCTCGAAATTTTGTTTAAGTGCCAAATCCTTGCTTAATAAGCTGCCCTTGCTTCAGACTCTGGTGTTCGTCCATTGTCCAGATATCGCTTTAGTAAGTGAGACGTGGGCGTCGGCCTCCGTAGCTGACTCCGAACTCTCTCTTCTAGGCTATATGTGCGTTCGAAATGATCGTTAAGACAGCCATAGTGGGGGCAGTTGCGTCCACTTTAAGCAAACACTTACATTTTTGCTGCTGGGCCTTCCGCATTTTTCCGCAGTTTAAGGCAGCTGTTGGCTCCAAATTGCACTAAAAAATAAGTTCGCCTTACTCGTTGGCTGCGTCTATCGCCCTCCCAATTTTGATCGTTTACTCTTGCAGGCATTTCATGCTGCGGCCGACTCAAGCTTTAACTATCAATTGGTTGCGGGCGACTTTAATCTCCCTGAAGTTCGCTGGTCTCCGCCTTCAGGTCCCAGAAGGTTCGAAGACGTTCTTGAGGCTGTGGATGTTGGAATGTGGACTCAAGTTGTCGATTTTCCCACCCAAGGATCAAGCATACTTGACTTGATTTTCTGTAGAGGCTGCATACCTTCGTCTTTGTCGTCTCTTGGCCCACTCGGGGGCTTAGACCATGACATGGTTGTTTCAACATTGGAATTCGAGGCTGACAGAACGTTGTCCCCAAAGTATAACTTTTTCCGCGATTTCCGATCAACTCGCTCAACCGAATTATTAACACACCTTAATTCCTACAACTGGACTGATTTCTTCCTTAGTTCGGACGTTAATGTTTGCACTGCAAAACTGTACGAAATTTTGGATCCGCTTATTTCTCGTTTTGTCCCCCGTAAGAAAATTATTAATGTTTGAGATGAGGTTATCCTACCCTTACCCTTTCGTCACAGATTGCGCAGACTTTATCGTCGATTTCATCTTCAGAACAACGTTTCAGTTCTGCCCTTAATTTGTGATATTTTTGATCGAGCTAAGAGATTGCCTGAAGAAAAACAGCTAGCCGAAGTGGTCCAGTTTACCGAAAACCATTCGTTAAATCTCTCTAAACTTTTCTCTAGAAAAATACGAACTCACCGAAAGACGCAGCATCCCATCCTCCGAGACGCTCTCGGAAATGCCATAGTTGATACCCAGTTAACCGCGGATAGCTTCAATGATTTCCTGTCCAAAACATTCATTGAAGACTCGACCACTCCGCTTCCGACCATCCAGGCACTGACTGGGACAGTTCTAGAAACTATAACTTCCACTCTGCGTGATGTGACTGTTGCGATTCGGCGTATTCGTCAATCTTATAGTCCACGACCTGATGGTGTCCCATTAAGCATTTTACAAGCCTATGCAAATACGATTTTCCCACCCCTCTTATGCAAGATAATTGATCTCGCTCTTGAAAGTGAAACTTATCCTACCTTGTGGAAGGAATCACACATTTAGCCCATTCCTAAGCACGGTAAATCTACGTCATTTGATGACTTTCGGCCAATAAGCATCCACCCCGCAGTTTCGAAGATTTTAGAGACATTGATCAAGGATAAGATGATGTGTCACTTAACGGAGAACAACCTACTGAGTGCTGCTCAGCATGGATTTCTCAAAGATCAATCTTGCGACACCTGTCAACTCTCTTTCTTTGACTATATTCTCCAATTTAGGGACAATGGTTTTGCACTTTACACAGTATATTTCGATTTCACTAAGGCGTTTAATCGTGTTGACCGTGCTCTTCTTCTCTTGAAACTATCCTCTTGCGGAATAGGTGGCAAACTTTTAAATTTTATATCCTCTTACCCGGGCACTCGTACACAACGAGTTAAGATTTCCAATACTATCTCCAACCCCACACGTGTGAGGAGTGGAATCATTCAGGGTAGTGTACTCGGCTCGCCTTTATTTTGTCTTTTCGTTAATGATGTACTCGATTTATTTCAGAATGGTAAGCGCCTCATGTATGCCGACGATCGTAAAGTTGCATATCGATATAAGTCGGCAGATCGTGGCATAGTGCTTGAGCTCCTAAAGATAGATAGATAGATAACTTTTATTAAAGACCCGTCGGGGTCCCATCAAAGCAAGTTAAAATAAATTTGCATGCGAGTTTTAAACGAGGTAGGCCGAATCTTTACAAAATGCAATTCCTAGTTTCAAAATTAGAAGTCCATTGAGAAACATGATGATTGAGGGGTGAAAAAAAAACTCCTCGGAAAAAGTTAAAAATGATTGGATTAATTTTACAGGAGAAAAAAAACCCCTCCATAAAAATAATAACAGAAAAAAGCGAGCAGGACTGGCCTGTAGGTGGCGTTATATAACGGAATGTTGTCGGTCATCGTCAGGGTAGCAATAAATGTCCGCCTTGATGGGTACGAATGTGGGTCAGACAGGACTGCCTTGCCAATGGCATTGTATACGGGATTCACAATTGAGATCGTCTGGGCCTGATTGGTACGCCGCGTCAAAGAGGCCAGACGAGAGGAACCGAGATGCGATCGGCCACAGCACGCTTCGGGCTCAGCCGAGCAGTGAGGAAGGGAGGTACGACCGAACTACTAGTAGACAGTGAATACGGAGGGTTCCGCCGTGAGCGTCGACAGACCGCATGAGGTCGGAATGCGGGAGATGACATCAAAAACCGCGAAAATTGTCGCTATCGGGGGGTGGGGGGAAGGATAGCAATGGATTTAGAAACCAATTAAAAACAGCGGTTTCTAATGATATAATTAAGAGTTACCACTTAATCTACCACTAAATCCCAGGAGGACCCTTCTCGAAGTCAAGAATCTGAGTGTTCAGGAATGAGACCGTTAACAGTGCCTTTATGCTTTCCGGTGTAAGATGGTTGCGTAATTTCGACTTGAATACCAGTAACTTAGGCGATAATCTAATTTCAGGCGGAAGATTATTCCAAAGGAAGGCATATTTGGAAGCAAAGAAGACGGAGCGCTTTGATGTAGTACAAAGAGGCGGCGGAATCACCATGCAGGAGTTGCGCGTGGCATAAGACCGATCTCTCGGAGTGAGAGTGTCAATGTGCGGAAGACTGGACCTAGAGTTGATGCGAAAAAGGAAGCAAAGGCCAGCTTCGAGTCTTCTAACCCACAAAAACTTCATGTTCGCCAGCTGACATCTCTGACTATAAGAAATACTGGGCGAAGCTTGAGAGAACAGTTTCCGGGTGAAAACCCTCTGAACATTTTCGATTTTATTACGGTCGCAGGCGTTCATTAAACCGAAGAAAGGACAGCAATATTCGAGGACTGGAAGAACAAACATTTGATAAAGTCTTAGCTTCATTTCCGGAAGGAAAAAATTATGCGATATGAATCCACATATCTGCGCGGCTTTGGCAGAGATTTTATCTGCATGAGGTGATAAAGCAAGTTTATTTGTATAACTTAGACCTAGGTCCTTTATGGTGAGGCATTCTGAGAGTGGATTATTCTGAAAATGGTTTATGTGTTTCTTAATGAGATCTGAGGAGACATCAATTGTACTCAGTGTCGTATCTGAAAGTGATCGAAAGAAAGGCACCGGATCGGACTCAGTAGCAAGGTGTTTTGCAAAGAAAGCACTAAACAACTCTGTCTTGTCAGTGACATCGGTGGGGAAGACTTTGTTATCATTTAGCATGGGTGGAAGTTCATGACCAGGCTTAGAGGAGGACCGATGACGGAAGATGTTAGCGACGGATTTGCCAGGGTTCGAACCACTGAGAGCAATTGATTCTCTTTGCCTGTCGCGCGCTTGGCGCATCCTTGAGGCCATCGCAAAAATCTCTGTGATTCTAAGATGAACTGATAAGGAACTAGTAGATGGGTCACGCAGTTGTCGCCTCAACTTTTTAGTCTGTTCTGAAGAAAATGAGGAACAAGGGAATCTAAAGAATAAGGCTTAAGATATCTACGCGGCCCAAACTCTAGGATGTCCTCGGAAACGTTGGACATGACATCACGAAGAATGGTTACATCGCTACAAGTGAGGAAGCCACACCAATCCAAGGATCTCATATAGTTATTAATTAAGTCGTTATCTACGCAGTCGTAGTTCATGTAAGTCCGAACGGCGCTTGTCTTTTTTGAAAAGGCAAGTGGTAAGCAACAATGAATTAATACGTGGTCACTGTCAAAGAGGTCCTTTTTTAGAGCAACAGAAAGAGGAGCGATGTCATTGGTAGAAATAAGATATAAAATGTGATCATCTCTTGTTGGAGAGCGCACCAGTTAGGATCAATTAGAAAACTTGACAATATCTTGAAAGTGATGGAATTTGGGTGGACATCTATTGGAAACCCAGTCTATTTCAGGAAGGTTACAATCCCCAGTGATTATTTTAACATCGAAAGCAGCTTCCGAAATTAATTTAAAGATTTCACAGAATTGTGAATCATCAATGGCTAAAGAATTTGGGGGCTTGTAGATACAGCCAATAATTGCCTTTCTTTGCGGCGAGAGAATAACAGATGCAAAGCAGAAGTTTCCCGTGAATGAGGAAACATCCAAGTAATAGGGAGAGTGCTTTAGGTAGGATTTAAGATAAAGAAGACAACCACCCCCACGCCTAGTCGTGCGGTCTTGGCGGTAAAAATCGAAGTCATCTATGAGAAGGGCAGAGTCAGGAATCAGAGAATGTGGCCAAGATTCTGTTGCACATATAATATCAGACGTCATTTCCAGAGCAATGGCTCTGATTTGGGCCATCTTGTTTATAACAGACCTGGCATTCAATAATATAATATCTAATGTGTTTCGAACGGCAATGCTATTTTCGACGGTATTTAAAAAAATTTGGAGGTGGATATGTAAGCTGCGAATTAATGACACTTGGAGAATAAGTACCAGTTAGTCTAGAGTTATTGACGTACGGGGAGTCAGCAAGGGAAGGCTGAGTATGTTTAGTTTTGCCGCTTGCCTCGTATTATATCCGTGCTCGACGCACGAACTTTGACCTGCCTGTTTGCCGCTGACTGACTTAGACCTCCCCCGGGCTGACCGCTGACAGGCCTGCGTGACCTTTGTCCCCTTTGGGGTCGGAGTAAATGTAGTCAAATCAACGTGTCGCTTTGCCTCTCCCACGTCAGCCGGTTGACTGATCGGTCGTTGCTGTTCATGTGAGCAGCATACAGATTCGCGTGCGCATCGGTGAGACAGTGCTCGGCTTTGGTCACATGATCTCTGGTCCCCAACTCCGCTCTTTTCCGTGAGCGTTGACTCTCGGTCCCGCGTGCTCGCTTGTCTTACTGGTCCTGTCCGGACTGATCCGAGCCTTGTACGCAGAGCCTGGTAGGCGGGATGTAGACATATAGGTCGGTTGAGTGTGCCAGTCGAGGACCAACTTTCGAGCACCTGTCTGGCCATCTTCTCATTGGCTCGAGCAATTACCCTCGCTTTCTCAAAGGCAAAATTGTGGTTCAGTTCTCGTATGTGGCCATAGACCAAAGACAGCTTGTCCTTCCGGTTGATTGCAAGTTGTTGTTCGTGCAATCTTGTACGGAGGCGTTTGCCCGTTTCACCAACACACCTCGCATCGCAATTTAGGCATGGTATGCTGTGGACAATCGAAGACTGTTCTGTTGTTGGTAGCGGGTTTTCGGGCTTCATGATTTGGTTTATGAGCCACGCCAATCCCAAAAGGTTTCAAGATTCTCGCCGCCTCCTCTGATACGTTCTTCACACAGGGTATTAAGAGCCAGAACTTGGGCTTTTCTCCACTCTACCGCTCAAAATGAGGCCTTTTGAGGCAATCGCATATGAAAGACTTTATGTAGCCGTTGGCTTTAAAAAGGGCCTGTAAGTAATTCATCTCCTTTTTCCTCCCACTGTCGTCGCTACAGTGTGTTTGAACACGTTGAAAGAGAGTTCTGACAAGACTGCGTTTATGACTAACAGGGTGGTTGCTTTGGAAGTGGAGGATGCGCCTGGTATTTGTTGCCTTACGGTAAGCCATCCTCCTTTTCTTCCCGTCTGTCAATCTCGTAACTTGTACGTCCAGGAAGGGCAACCGATTGCTGACTTACTCTTCCATAGTAAACTGAATGTCGGGAAAGATTGAGTTTAGCAATGCCTTGGAAGCCTTCACCTCGCTCCTCTAGATTACAACGAACGTGTCATCGACGTATCTGGCCCAGAACTGCGGAAGGGTACGAGCTGAACACCAGCAAAACTGCTTCAGCAATTAGTCCAGACAGAGGCTAGCCCATCCTTATCCTCTTCTTTTGCTCGTAGACTTGACCGTTGAATGTAAAGAAGGTCTAACGACACAGTTCTAGGAGCTCGATGATGTGTGCTCGTTTGAGCTGTTGGTCGGTCTCATCATACTTTTCCCGGAGAAAACCATCAATGGTGTCGATAGCCAACGCGAGTGGAGTGGAGGTGAATAATGAGATCGCGTCAAATGACACCATCACCTCATCTGCCTCCACTTCGAGATAATTGATGCGCGTCAAGAACTCTTCAGCCTATTTCACTGTCCACTCTGAATCCTTGGTAAGGAAACAAAGCCGCTGGTACAGCCACTTTGACAGCCCAAAGGTTGGGGTTCCCACGTAAGGGGACGATGGGGCGTAACGGCACTCCCGCCTTGTGGATCTTTGGTAGGTCGTAGAAGCGCACCATTGCGATATTGCTGGCTTTTGCGGCCAGCGCTTCGCTTCTAGTAAGAGCGCCCGCCTTCCTCAGCTTGCTGATCGTCTTGTTTATGCTGTTTACGAGCTTTTTGAACCCCTTGACAGTCGATGGCGCATTAACTTCCTTATCCATAATGAGGTTGCCTAGTTTGTGCAGTACTCAGCCTTATCCATGAAGACAGTCGAGCAGCCCTTGTCGGCGGGTAGGGCGACGATATCCTTTATTTTTTGTATCTTCAGAAGCTGTCGATCGTCTGCTTTAGAAATCGTCATCTGGCGTTTGTGTTGGAGGAGTAAGGTCAACACTTGTTGTCGCATGGCGTTTTTGCTCTCCTCGCCAGCCTTATACTTCTGGAGCGCTGACTCAAAGGATGCAATAAAGTCTTCTGGTCGAGCATCTCTTGTGCAGAACTTCATGTCATTGGATAAAACCGCTAGTTGTTGCTGAGTAAAACGATGAGAGGACAAGTTGTGAACCAAGACACCGTCAGTAGAGGCCTGCCCTGGCGAACTTATTTTCTGTTCAAATACGTAAACATTTGACTAATAAAATTACCGATAGACTTATTTTGCATCTAAAAAGGACACTTCGGAACGATCTAGGCGAACAAAAAGTGCGTAACACTTTTGTGTCTTAAATAGATCTTCTTACTTTTCACCAACGCGTTTCCTAGGGTAGGTCCCATACTGTATATGTACCTGAAGGAGGTATACGCTAATCTGAGATACAGTGAGGTGATCATCAGTTTTCCCCGCTAACCGAAATGCCATTTGTCAGGAAGCATAACGAAGAATAACTGTTAAGGGCCTCGAAGATCATCACCCCGAAGAACAGTATAGGCGAGCTTGGCAACCATTTTAAGTATGAACTTGTATATGCGGACATGACGTCTAGAAATACAGTGATTCTGGATTTAATGCACAGTTCTTCCTGAATACTTCATCGACAGTTGATACTGCAGTGCGTGGCGGCAGGGCCGCCCACTCTTCTACGGACCTGCGCGCTAAGAGACACTTCCTAGCCTGTAGCCGCGCACATTTTAAGGGGGTGTCTGCGTAGGTTGGTTGTGGTGAACAACCAAGGCTGCAGTCGTGACCTCGGAAGATGCGGAAGGTCAGTATAAGGTTCCCCCATATTCGCCTTTAACTTTGAGGGAAAGATTCGGATTTGAAAGTTGTTCTCCGTATGGCAAAGAACGTAGTCTTCGAAGCAACTTAACTGCACGCCGTTGGATCCTTCAGAGAATATTGTTACCCTTCATAGCCAGTGGTTTCCACGACTTGACAGCGCACTCTAATTTTGGCTGCACAGATTTTCTGTGTACCTTTGCAAAGCCCTCCTCGCCAAAGCTAGCGAAGGCGCGTTTAATATGGGCCAGCGCTGATATTGCAAAACCTCTGACCATTGAACGGTTCAAAGGTGGATTAAGGGCAGCTGTGATTCATACGCCCAAGTTCTTCCGCGCTTTTCTTTCTGAAGCGAAGTGTAATTTGGATAGCGTGTTCTGCTCCGACCTTTATAAGGTCAACGTTTGTCGATCTGAAGGAGGCGACTCTTGCTTCACTTTCGAGTCGACATAGAGATTCATGCAACTGCTCTTCATGAACCTCGGTTCTGATAATGCGTCAAAAACGTTAAACCATCAGCAGACATTGCGGCTCCACAGTCCAACTCTAGGGCCCAATCATCGATGAATACGGCAAAATGGGTAGGACTAAGTGCGAGACCTTGCAGAACGCCTTTATCTGTCGTCAGTTCCGATGAGTACTGACCGCTAAAACGAACGAACTGTGACCTACCAGCCGACCAAGAAGTCAGTAAGATGTGGTTATATAGCCGCACCGATGGACACAATACTGTTAACATTCCTAATTAATTAAGTACGTTGGCATGGTGCTGCTGTGGCGTTGCTGTTCTGTTGGCGGTCTGGATTCTTTGTTGCCGTGTCTTCATTTTTGACCCAATACCGGTGGGCTTTCTTGATTTTTGGCCTGTCGTCTCCTTTGAACTTTCGCGTTGGATGTTTCAGAGTTAGTGTTTAGTACTGCGGCTAAGGGTTAGGGTTAAAGGGATAGGGTTGTCTTTGAGACTTAGGGTTAGATGTTAGGGCTAGGGTCATGGAGTTAGGGCTTAGGGTTATGGGTTGAGGTTTAGGGGTAGAGTATCTATTTCTCCACCAGTCAAAGTAAAAGCGTGCATTCCCAATAGCTTTTCTTTTGCGCACAATTACTTGACCTCGTCGCCTGTGGTTTTCCTGGCCGAACCTGTAAAAACCCCCTATTACCACCGGTCCGGTATTACAGGTGGCTGGGGTTTGCTTACTTCAGGTGCGGCTACATAATCACATCCGACCCTTTTTCACCCCTCCTATAGGCCCCGTCTGAGCTGACTCGAGCCTTGTGCGGAGCGTTTGGTAGACGATTAAGGGCTAGGGGTTAGGGCCAGAGTAAGCGGCTATGGTTAGGGGTTAGGGTTATGGGTTATAGTTAGGCGTTAAGGTCCGAGGTTAGAGTTAGGGTTTAGGGCAACTATTTGTCAACTACTCCAAGTAAATTCACGCATTCCCAATAGCTTTTTTTCGCATATATTTACTTGACCTCGTCGCCTGTGCGTACTCTGATCCCACCTGAAAAAAACCCTATTAACACCGGTCCCGTGTTACAGGTGGCTGGGGTTATTTTATCTCAGGTGCGGCTACATAACCACATCTGCCGAAAAAGTCTTCTACCTATTCCGGCACGCTCTCCTCACATAGACGTCGCAGCGGCACACAATCGACGACATTATTTAATTCAATGAGAGTAACATGCACAATATGACCATCGTCTATTGCTCCAGTCCAATGCTCCAGTGTGTGCATCAGGCTAGCCAAGCAGAGATGATGGAAGGCTTTGTCTGAGGAAAGAGATGAAATTCTTTCTTCAATAGGCTCAAAATCGTGATTTCTAAGAAGTTTGGCTACTCTCAGGCAAACGTAAATGCCCTAACGCTGGATGAGATTTGCCTAGCCTGGACTGGCAAATGCAATTTGACTACTATGGGCAGACTTATACTTTGCCTTAGTATTTCAAACCTGTAAACCTTCAGCTGGACGAAAAAGCTCGAATCTAAGTACTGGCAGTGGTAGTAGTAGTAGTAGTAGTAGTAGTGGTAGTAGTAGTAGTGGTAGTAGTAGTAGTAGTAGTAGTAGTAGTAGTAGTAGTAGTAGTAGTAGTAGTAGTAGCAACAGTTCATAACGGCTTTGAGATCGGAATTGAAAAGGTTTGACCTGAGAACACGTGCCTCATTCATCGACGGACAGACACTTATGGAAGCATGTCACTTGTCAGCGATGCAAAAATGAATAAACCTGGTCGAGCCACTTAGAGTTAATCGACACCCACTGAAGGGGATCCAGCGTCTATAAAGGACTAGAGTGGTCGAGACCAACGAACCCTCATGACTGTAGTGGTCATTCGGGATTGAAATTGCAAACAAGCGCGACTCGATCCATCCTCACCAATCCCTGCGACCGAAACTAGCACTCTCCAAACGGGGGGAGCTAGCTGACGCCTGCCGGCTGCAATGTAAATGTAATGGATGTAACTACGTTGAACGTACCGACCGACCACTAGTCACTTACAATCCCACCCACATGGTCCGACTGATGGCATAAGATTCGGTAGACGCGGTAGATTAGGACAGCATGTAGATAATGCAGCAGTAGGGACTTCTGCCTGAATTAGTTTGCAATGGGGCGGACCTGCACAGCACCAATCGCACTCCCTCATCTATCTGGGTCCGGTAACACGGTAGTATCCAGACGACTGGAGGCATGCGCCGGCTTGAGAGTACCATAAAGGACACTTAAAGAAGGCTCCGGTGCAGCCCGACTGTCCGTCTCAGGAAGGACTAAGCTGCCACGCCGGTCCAAAACTTTCCACGCTAAGACTCTTTGCCCGTCATACTTATTACGCCCAAGCCGGAAACAAAACAAGTCGAGAATTGATTGAAGCCTGAGCCTCGGATGGGGACTTGGTCAATCGATTTATCGATCTGGCGCCGGCGTACAGAGCCCTGCATAGTCACCTACAGTCTTGCGGCGTCGGTCAATGATTGGGCCTACATGCCTTATAACTGCCGTTTGTTCTGTCGCTGCCACTACCTCTGACGATGGACTCCTGTACGAGTCTGAAAGCTGAGGACAATAAAAGAAGCGTTCCGGTGCTCGAATCTTGTTCTTCACTTAAAACGGTGTGTAATGCGCTGATTTGCCGTTAGGATTGATTTCCTCGCCACGACCTCGTACAATAACCCTTAAGGACCCACAAAAACCCAGCAAAACCCAATAAACGCGTGTTGCGGGTCTGTAAAAACCCGGTTTTGGTCCAGCACGCCTTCAGCAAAGCTCGCAGCGTCCTAGCTAAGCAGGAACGGTCATCCAATCCGGCGTCAGCGCTGTAGTCATTGGTAACGACAAATAACGCTCTGCAACGAAGAGGGTAGCCACTTCCGGATGCCTTCTGACAACATACACGTTTCCAGAATTTTGCAATTTTCGAAAATTCGCACTAGGTCACACTTTCTGATGGATCCAACGACCAATAACTGTTCCAATAAAATCTTCCTACCCTTTTCGGTTTGCTGACAAGTTTGCTTGGCTCAGGGTTTGTTTTCAGTCTGTAGCGGCCGAGGACGTCAAGGAAAGCACACACCGAGGCAGCGAAGCACTGGGAAGAGATCCTGGTTAAGACCTATCTGAATAGAGTCGTTGACATGTCGTGGTACTTATCCCTACGCAAGGGAAGAAGAAGCGATAGGTAGGCAATAAGGAAGAGGTGGAAACTGGGAACACATATAATAGTAATCTACTGTACGAACGGGATAAGTTACAGCAAGCGAGTAACCTGTCCGGATGGAGAGGCGACCTTGACATGCCAGCTAAACAACCGGTGGGGAGCGCAGCGTTGTGGGCAACTGCAGGGAAGGGCCGGGAAGATGCCGACGTAGAGAAGAAGAAGAAGAAGAAGAACGATGCAAGAGTAACGGTAGGTTGCGGGAAGGGGATCGGCGACAGTGAGAGGAAGTAACACCGGTCATCTTCACTGACACGCAGTTACACCACCAGCATACCAGGCCCGCGCGCCAGAAGCGTCTCTTCATCCAAACAACCCTATACAGATCGTGGGGAGTTACAAGTCCAAACTCGATTGTTCGTCAAAATTGCTAGCAAGACAGAGCGGCTTTCATTGTCTGTTATGAAATTTCTGTAGCGCCATTTTATTCATGAGAGGGAAAGAGGAATTCGCTTTATTTTGAAATCATAAATTCGAAATTTTCAGCAACAAATTGGCTCCATTCACTATGGGCAGTAAATAAGTTAATAGATTATTCCAGAGTCAAAATTTTAAAACGAAAGGAACGATCATTATGAGGACAGTTCAAGTCTTAGCTTCTGTATTTCCATCTCCGCACGTAAGATAGCGCGCCAGGAATGGCAATACAGAAGCTCGAAAAGCTCATGTGCGACAAGACATACGGCGGAAGCTGCGACGCATCGGGCGGGAAGACTTCACAGAAATAAGATCAGAATGCAAGGGATGGGCAGCGACATTTATAATCCGACCAGCAAATTTATTGACTGTATTGAAATGTCGTTGTAAGATAATATCGACTAAAAAGAGATAAAGCTAAATGATCTTTTTTTGAGCAAAGCAGGAAAAATGACCGGACAGCAGTATAGGATACGAGGAAGAATGCAGGCATCGATGCATTGCCAGACTAAGGGTTGAAGTGTGTGGTAGGTACGTAAACGACGAATGTAATAAAGACGTTTATGAACTTAAGTAAATAGGGACTCAGTATGGAGGGAAAACAAAATATTTGATGACAAAGTAACGCCAAGGTACCAGAAAAAGGATACCTCGTTAGGAAGGAAGTCAGCGGATTCGGGACTAAGAGAGGGTCGCAGTCGGAAAATACACTGAACTGATTTTTGGTTGTTCATTAGGAGACCATTTTCCTCCGACAATGCTAGGACATAGTTTAGGCCATCCTTTAGAGACTGGAGGTGTGTCTGAATTTCGAGGGGGTGTCTAACAACCATATAATCAGCATACTTAACCAAATGACAGTCGTTAGGTAATCTTAGATCGTCGGTGTGGAGGGAGTAAAGGTGAGGGGATAGAATGGAACCTTGAAGAACTCCGCAGTCATCGGGAAGGACCATAGATTTCCGCTTGCCAGATTGAGTGCGGGAAGTAAAATAATCGCTAAGTCAAGAGACGACTCAGCCTGGAGAGCCGCACGCGGATGTTTTGGTAAGGAGCAGAGGGCGGGGGACGATATTAAAGGCGAGGGAGTTGTCATGAAAAGTGCGTGCGTACTCGCGGCAGCGCTTGTCTAATTTTCTGAGTGGACCACAAGAGCAATAGCATCTAAAGTACTGCGTTTGGTTTTGTATGCAAATTGTAAAGTGTCGGAAAATCTGGGAGAAGAAGACTTTATAATATCTAGGGCAACTCTTTCAGCAAGCTTTAGTAGTGCGGAGGAGCAGGCAATTGGACGAAAAGAGTTAGGACCAAAATTAACGGATTTTTAGGGATGGGAGGGATTCTCACTGTACGCCAGGCGTCGGAAACCTTGGACTCCATGAAAGACATATTAATAAGGTGCGTTGAAATAGGGGCTATCTGAGAACAACAAGATTGAGGAAGAAAAGGCGAGAAACTATTCGGTCAGGCAGCTGTTGATCCACGGACTTTTTTAATGTGTTTCTCTACTGTTGCCACAGACACGGGTTGGAAGGTACATGGGGATAGGGGAATGTCATCTGAGGGAAGATGGGAGTCATTGTGAATCAATATAACATTTTTATTTAGGAGTCTACATCAGCATCCAGTGTGTTGCGATGGCCAGTAAGACGCTTAAGATTCTTCGAAATTTCAACAGAAGAAGGGGGAAGGAAGAAGAGGTAACAATTTGACTAACAGACAGGTTATTTAGCCTGTCAATCTCTGTTTTTATTAAGACGACAACATCCTTAAAGCTGTCACGTAAGCTTAGCCTGTAAGGGAGTTCTTTTTTCGTCTTAAAAATTTCAGACAGGGGGAAGAAATTCTACCCGGTCGTACCATTACAGTATCAAGAGGACAGCAAATATCAAAAATTTCATTTAACACCCTGTTAGGTTGGAAGAACAGGATTCAACATTCGTTCGATAGTATAAGAAATGCAATTCTGATACCAGCGAATGCTTTGTGCGGACATATTGCGAAAATTAACCTTTCTGTCAGGTTTGACTAACAGTGCACGTTTAGAAGTGGAATAGATTTTCGGAAGACCCAATAAAGTAGAATGATCAGAACCTGACAATGGAGCCCTCTTTATAACGCAAAAAAGCTTTCTGTGGTTGGTCAGAATATGATCAAGAGGGACATCTGCGCGGGTATTGAAGGATACAAGATAATCGAAGTTTACAAGTGTGAGGGGACGTAAAGTTACGCGATTAAAATTACTTCATATGAAAATAGGAAATTTGCAGGACAATATAGCAAGCTCTTCTGACGCCCCGTGCACATAAAATACACTGGCCTCCTTCGAAGTCAACCTGTGGTAATGATTTTTGTTTTACGAAAGTTGGTTATCTCATCGACACGTGCGCAGAAGGTTGCGCCTGTGATTTCAAACGCCAACTAATTATATTACCTCAACCTATGTCAATTCCCACCTCCTCTGCGAAGCTGTGTCATCTGGGACGTCAGCATGATATTTGATTACTAATCCGTCTTCATCCTTTGAACTCTGTGTGTAATGGCATTTCCGTTTGTCACCCTGCGTGGGCAAGTCTTTCACGGCTAGAGCTGTCGTTCATCTGCGAACAGCCAGCCAACAAATTAACGCCCTCGACTTAAATGCCCAATCGAAAGCAGGCACGTGGACCCGATTTTGCCAACCGTTGGTGAGCACGTGACGAGGAAGCACTCGATAGGTTGCTGCGGCGCCTGAATGGGCACAACCGCATGAATAAAAGCTAGGCGGATATTTGTCCCCCGTCAAGCAGCAACATGTGCCAAAAGGTGATCTGCAAGAAGTGTGGAAGGCCAACATGGTCAGGTAGGCCCCTTTAAATATTCGCTATTTAACTTCAACATTTTAAGGAAGTGGACTGCACATTGAGGACGCCCTAGATGGAGTTCCGCTACCACAGCGATGCCATTGTCTCCAAGTCTTGCGATAATCGATAAAGAGAGTTGTGTCACTTTGCGAATAAACATCTTCAAATTCACGGGCTCGTTTGTTCATGTGTTGAT